ATTTTCCCTTCCCCTTCCCAGACAACGAGGGGGACTGCGAGGACCTGGAAAATGGGGTTTTTGGGGTCAGAATTCCATCTTCTCTTCCCAAACAACGAGGGGGACTCCAAGGATGTGGAAAACAGGGTTTGGGGGGTCAGAATTCCCTGATTTTCCCTTCCCCTTCCCAGAAAACGAGGGGGACTGCGAGGACCTGTCCCGGGCCCTGCGGCTGGTGAAGGAGCTGCTGTCGGGGGTGGACGAGGAGGTTCACGCCTGGGAGCTGCGGGGGCGGCTCTGGGACGTTTACAGGCGGGTGGACCCCCGGGCCAAGGTGCCCCTGCCCTGGGAGAGCCGGCCCGGGGCCTTCGGCAGGGACGAGCTGCTCCGCAGGAAACTCCTGCACAGCGGCGGGATGCTCTGGAAAACCGCGGCGGGGAGGTTCAAAGGTGGGACAGTGGGGAAGGGGAGCTGGGAATGGGGTACAAGTGGAGCTGGGAGCAGGGAATGGGATAGCAGTGGACCTGGGGGCAAGGGAATGGGATACAAGTGGCACTGGGAGCCAGAGAATGGGATACCAGTGGATCTGGGAGCAGGGAATGGGATAGCAGTGGTGCTGGATGGGGATCCTGCAGAGGATGCTCTGGAAAACCGCGGCGGGGAGGTTCAAAGGTGGGACAGTGGGGAAAGGGGAGCTGGGAATGGGGTACAAGTGGATCTGGGGGCCAGGGAATGGGATAGCAGAGGACCTGGGGGCAAAGGAATGGGATAAAAGTGGATCTGGCAGCCAGGGAATGGGATAGCAGTGGACCTGGATGTAAAGGAATGGGATACAAGTGGCACTGGGAGCCAGAGAATGGGATACCAGTGGATCTGGAGCCAGGGAATGGGATCCCAGTGGACCCTTCCCTGTGTGGGAAGGGGCTGGAAAACAGGGAGCTGGTGGGTCAGAATTCCCTCTTCCCACCCCTCCTCCCAGACATCCTGGTGCTGCTGATGACGGACGTGCTGGTTTTCCTGCAGGAGAAGGACCAGAAATACACCTTCCCCATGCTGGTGAGACCCCTGGAATTCCACCCTGGAATGCCAGCTTCCCACCCCTCATCCCTGAAAACCAGGGGGACTGTGCAGACCTGGAAAACCTGGGATTGGAGGGTCAGAATTCCCTCTTCCCACCCCTCATCCCTGAAAACCAGGGGACTGTGCAGACCTGGAAAACCTGGGATTGGGGGGGTCAGAATTCCCTCTTCCCACCCCTGATCCCTGAAAACGAGGGGGACTGTGCAGACCTGGAAAACGGGGGGAGGATCCAAAGAATTCCAAAGGCACCTGGGTGGGAAGGGGCTGGAAAATAGGAGTTGGGGGGTCAGAATTCCCTCTTCCCACTCCGATCCCAGACTATGAGGGGGCTGGGGGTCAGTGGGGTCAGAATTCCAGTTCCCACCCCTGATCCCAGACAACAAGGGAGACTGTGCAGACCTGGAAAACAGGGATTAAGGGG